CATAAAACAATTAACATATTAATCGTATTTGCTATTTTAATACATAATATTCGTAAGAAAATTATTCTCATTGAGTGCCAAATTTATTAACACTATTAATTTTATGAGAATTTCGTTTGAATCTTATATATCTCGAGTTGTTATTTAGAGAAATATATTGCTTTTTTTTGAGCAAATTGCAATCTTTTTGCTAATTTTCTTGATTTGTTAGTTGCTTTTAAAGAACTAACGGCACAAGCTTGGGATTGTTGCATTTTCACTTATTCCTCATCCATTTTGCGCGAGGCTTTCTCAAAAATTATCCCAAATATCTGATTATTCTATCTTTACTTTTGCTATTTCTGTAAGACTTTTCTTGAATTGTCTCCAATGAGTGATTCCGACACTAGCATTTATAGCTATGATTTTTACAACTCATTTGGGAAATATCGCTCCGATTCAACTTTCATTCATCTTACCTTGCATATAATATTACTGTTCTTTATTTTAGCAAACGCATCAAGCCAAAGGCATCATTCCACTTGAGTGTGTAGGTGTCCGTCTCGTTCATGACCGCAGTGCCAAGGACTTCGCTTTTGAGCTCTACCCGGACACCGAGAAATCTGATTCAGTTCTCCCTGGGAGTTGCACTAGCAACAATTCTATTGGTTTAGGTTTCGGTTCCGGCCCTAATTCAGGAGGGCTTTCGGTGGGCAATATAATAAGATCCAGCAAGTCCGATAAAGAGGGCTTTCCTATGCCAGGTAACTATCTAACCTTATTATATCCGGAGCTGTCCTTGTATTAATTTTTGCTCTGTTTGAATAAATCTCGTTAAATTCGCATAACCCAATTTCTTAAGCATCCTGATTGGACAACCTAATACCTATTCTTATATTACTGCTTTATTTTTAGAATAATTTACGTTACTTTATTTTTTGTTAGATTAAAGCTGTCTTTACTGGTATCAGTTTAGCTAACTTTTATATATTAGGATTGAGGCGCCTTTATATTTCATCTCTTGGGCTTTTAGCCTCAAAGATCCTTTATGAATGTTTAATGGCGATCATTTAAGTAAATTTGCTGATGCTTTTATTCACTATAGTATTGAGTAAATTTTCATGTCTAAACTATTTGAGCCGCCTTAATTCCCGTTCCGGAGCAAAGTATATCTTTTATAGAAGTGGGTTGACCTCGTTGTCGCAACTTGGTCTTGCTGTCATGGTGACTATGTAGAACGCACCTAGTCCAAAGTCGTCTGCCATAGTAATTGTCATGATTCTCAGCATCTGACAGTGGACTTGATGCATTCTCAAACGTTTCGCCGACATTGTAGTCGGCATCATCAGTGAGCTTTGCCATTCTCCGCACCAAGCTACGAACTCGTCAAAGAAACAAGTGAAGTCAATCCTTCCACTAGCGTTGTGCGAAAAACGAGTTCTTAGCTTGGTGCGGAGAATGGCAAAGCTCATTGAGGACGCCGACTACGATGCCGGCGAAACGTTTGAGAATGTATCAAATCCACTGTCAAATGCTGGGAATCACGACAACTACTATGGCAGACGACTTCGGACTTGGTGCGTTCTACATAGTCGCCCTGACAACAAGACCAAGTTGCGACAACGAGGTAAACCCACTTAGGATTTGTTGAATCTTTTATGTCTATTTGAAGCAACTACTTTTATCATTGACTTGACTTAATCTCCATTC